CAATTTACGCGATCTTACTTGCATTCTAGTCAAGTTCTTAGCAGATTGTGAAACATGAAGATCTCGATCTGAAGACGCACTGAGAATATCATAAAACCAAAATTTACTTTAGGGAGATAACATTATAAACAGAAGAAAGCTCTAAATGACCCTTCTTTGCACAATAACAGTCTTCATCATAGAGGCGTTTACGCAAACACTTGGTATGCAAGAAACATAAAATCCTAAGAGTAAAACCTTGAAGCTCAAAGGTATAAACCTCGAAAACCCATTAATGGAGTCAACATGTAGATTCAATATAGTCAAAGATTGAGCTTAAAAACTCAGCAAGAATGTACCTTTTAGACCGTCCATGTTTGTGAATATTCGGACAATGGCAAGAATCTTCTTTTCCTGCGTTTCTTCTCTGCTTTTTATCTTCCTTTTTCAAATCGAAATCACCCATCTCAGTCAAAATGATAAAAGCCCAAATGAAAATGAGGACTTGATTATAAGTCTTTAAAAGAAAAATCAGAATTATGTGATGGAAGAAGAGAGTGCAGAAGGAGAGAAGTAAATGGAGAGACGAGAACTGTAGCTTAGCCCAGAAGAAAGGGGACCAGGTTTTTATCAGACATTGCAGCCTGCGAAAATTTAATTTCATTCACTGTATGGTTGTTGAATTGCATTCAATTTCGAGTTTTTTTTTCAATCATTTTAAAATTCATAATTTTATTTCCCTCCTTTTTTCGAGAAAAAAAACACACACGACTTTTCAAATTATTATTATCAACACTTGTGAAACAAAAAAAAGGTTTCAACTCTTAATAGTTTTAAGGGGTTAATTCGGTGAATATCCAAAAAAAATTATAATTCAAAATCTAACAAAAATGGTATGTGTGGCAATATTTGTGACCATTGAATTTAGGGAATTTTGTTATTTAGTGGGTTATATTTTTTTTATAGTTATCAGGCCTAACTTCTCTAGTTTTAACAAATTAATTCATCTTTTCAAATTAATTTTCTTTAACACTTTTCAGGATAAAGTTTCACAAAAGAAAAAAATCTTTTCAGAATTTCAGGAAAAAAGAAATTATATAAAAGTAGCTCAATTCTTAAAATGTTAATATATTTTGGTTAGAGCAAATTGAAATATTTACTTAATAAAACAATATTAAAATACTATATAAATAAAATTAAATCAGAAATGATACTTAAAAAAAAAATGAGGGTAAAATGAAATTTACCAAAGTGAGAGATTATCGGCTGTGAATGTTTGGTGTGGGTAAAGCGGTTTAAGGTGCGGGAGAAATTTATGTCACCATTCAACATATTTTTGTCATTTGTGTTTTCAATAAAAATAAATAAATTAATAGTTAGAAAAAGTTAGTACATTCTCTTTTTGCATGTAAATCATGTTTCCACTAGGTGCGATTAATAGATCACATTTTTTATGTAGTTAGGTGCGTTTCTATTTTTTGTAAAATAGTTTTTTTTTAAATTATAAACAAATACAATTCATCAACTTACACTTTTTAATCCCCTTCCTATTAAAAGAGAAATAGATTTATTAACTTTGCTTATTTATTTTAATGTTATTGACTCAAAAAGATGACATGACTTGTGATAA